CTTAAACCTGAACAGAAACCGATGTTGGCTTCCCTCGATACGCCGATCTGCGAAACGCAGAAACCGGGGTACTGATTAATGAGGCGTTGAGCCACCCCTGCTGTAGAAACAGTAACCTGTAGGAGGTGGGCAGGGCGCACCGCCGGCAGCTGTAACTGTTTGAAGCTGTCTCGGCTTAATCCATTGCTGAGCATAAATCAGCTGCCAGGTAAGTGTTTGGGTAAACGTCGGAACTACTGACGTTTGGCTTCCTATGGACTTGTGTCTTATGGTTGACCAGCTTTTAACTTGAATGTTGTTAACAAAATTTCACAAGACGTTCTCTGCTGAGGGAAGGAGGAGATCCCATTCCCGCTTCCAATCTTCTTGCGTTCCAGAAACAAACAGATGGACAAACAGCAATATCATATCAACACAATTTCTTAGTGAAATTGGGATGAAAACCTCATCTTTTATGCTTGTGTTGTAGGATTTTATTCTTCTCCTAAAGGAACAAGGCCAGGTTGGATGGGGCTCTGAGCAGCCTGACCTAGTTAGCAGTGTCCCTGCTCCTGCAGGGGGGTTGGACTAGATGACCTCTAGGGGTCCCTTCCAACCCAAACCATTCTATGATTCTATGATTCTATGAAGATTTCAACCTATCTTCTACTATGTCCAGAGTTTTTAGTGAAACAGAACAGCTGCTAAAACCTAAGAACTGCACGGTGGGATCATAATCCCCTTTCAAGATGACATAAACTAGAAAAGTTCTAAGGTAAGTTTTTCTTCCATAATTCACCTTCCAATGAACAGTCCGTCCTTTTTGCTTAATCCGGTATCACTGACTTTGAAGTTTCTTTGTTCTCCTCGCCCTCTTAAGTTGTAACAACTACGACAACAGCCTTCCTTATGGGCAAGCAGTGGACTTCTGGGGCGGCAGAGGATCTGCAGCGGCAGCCAAGGCAGGAACGGTCGGCCTCCGGCCTGCAGGCGCAGGCAAGGACTCTTCCCACTCATGGTTAAGAACGAAAGGCTCTGAACAACAAGCTCTGGCAGATTTAGCCGCCTTCTTTTAAGATGTTGTTTCTCCCAACTGCCTGAGGTCACGATCATTCTATTAGAGCACAACAATGAAAGCAGGCAGTCTTTTAATACGCCAGCCTGTGACCCGGCGTCTCCACCGTACGAGTGTGGTAATACCTAGCAGCAGGATAAAGCAGATGGTTGAGAGTGGTAATGTCTTAAACTGAACAGATAACCCTGCCAGAGACCATGGACCAGAGCTCTAAGCCTCAGAATAACCCATCACCATTATGCACTTACAGGTTAGGAAGCACCGAGGAGAAGACAAACCAGACTTTGCCCCAAACCGCTGTATCAGGCCTGTGTAGCACACAGCCTAGCAAACAATTCCTTCGTCCCAGCGTGCTGCGTGGGTGAAAGAAACTAGTCTGACCAGCCTCACTGCTCTCACCTTGGCCCACGATCAGCACGTTGTCGAGCACGCAGCAGATCATGACCAGAGGCAACGCCGCCTTTCAACAGCCCAACACCACAGGCTGGGTTGAGCGCTGCTGACTGTAAAGCTGAGAATGGTGATGCGCTAGGAATTCCAGGCTGGCGACATGTGAGCATACAGCAGGATCTCTCCCATCTTTTTCATAAGGACAGTTTGCAGATAAAAGAGAACTGGCTACGGGGGTCTGAAGGCGTTGCAGTAGAAAGGAGGCCTGTAGACGTGGTTAGATGTGGCTACTGTAAGTCCAGGTTGCCTTAGATAGGTTGTCTGTCATCTTTTCCGACCAGAAATGTTCTCCAGGAAGATTTCGAGAACTGCATGTATTTCTGGGATTGTTGGTATCCAATAATCCCATCGGGTTGGATGTTACTGCATATGTGCAGCAGCCTCACCTTGAATGTCCCGTGTCCACCAATCCTAAAGGGATCCTCAGAACAAGCACACTGGGCCTGTATTGCATGTGCAAAGCAATTCCAAGAGAGTACTCTACCACTCCTGTTGCATGAACTTAACCACACAATTGCTTTGAGCATTTCCAGCACGCCCTGAAAGTATGAGGCTTACTGTACTTGCACAATGCACCTTCTGCACCTATTTCTGCATCAGAAATACGGTAGCCAAAGGGTGGGATAAAGACTCCCCCAGCCACCACAGTTTGGCTTTCACAACGAATACACCTCTTCCTCACTTTCTTCTGCTGGGCAGCCACCATTTTCCAGCAGCTGGAAACCAAAGTTGCCTCCGAAGAAGTCAAGAAGTTCCCCAGTAACAAATGCAATTTCTGAAGCTAAGCTTCAGCAGGGAAGTACGGGCAATGGGCTTGCTAGGGCAAGGTGTAGAACAGAGATTTAGGAACGCAGGGCAAAAAATAAAATTATATTCCACGTTGGTAGTGGGCACATATGCTGAAAGACCAAAGGGAAGGTAGGGAGGGCATGTAGGTATCACAGTGGCATGCACAGATAACAGTATAATCCTGTTAGCTTCAGCTGAATCATCGTATTTACACTATGTAATAGAAAAAATGGGGCTCTGCCTTTCATCTATGCTTTAACTACAATTAAACTTCTTGGTTATATTGATGATTTTCAGCTTCATGCCAATTAGGCCCAGGAATTCCATAAATGAGGAACAAATTTGGCTGAAACAGAGGGGGTTTGCTAAGACAGGATGGTAAAGAGAAGGTAGCCCAACCTAAGTAAGTTGAAGTCTGCAGTAACCCATCCTCAGCCAACTTGTACTCAGCGGTTCCATACCCTTCTCCTTCTGTAATTGACTTTCAGGGTGGCACTTCAGGCATGGTAAAAATTTGTTGGCGGATGACTGCTTGTAACTCCCACTAAAATCTGTGAGAGGGATGTGACCATGAATAAAAAAACTACACGGTACCCTTTCCTAAGTACCCCTGTAATCTCAGGACCGTGCTTTCTCAGAGCTGAGCCTACCTCTGCCAAGAACGAAGCCTTTATTGTGGTTGCTGTACTGAAAAGTGGGGCATGTGTGAAAAAGGAAAATACCTCTAGAGCATTTGAAAATAATTTCAGTTGTGGTTTTGAACTTAAACGGGACGTAACTAACCTTTCTGTCTGGATTTACCAACTGTAGTAAGAATAGAGTCTTAATGAATGTTTAAAGCCTCATCAGTTTATGAAAGAAATTATATAACACGGTGGTGTAGCGGCAGTGGATTGAACTCAGTGACCTAAAAAATGCTTAAATTTATTTCCATCTTAGGAAGTTCCTAGGTCTACCTTTCAGCAGCAGAAGATATTCCCAGAAAATCAATTATACATGTAAGCAAAAATATCATGGAGATGAAAGAACATATGAAAGAGCAAGCACAATTCTCCTTTCATAGCACTGTGAATCAAGAGTAACTCCACTGAAGCCAACGAGTTACACTGGTGTGAGTGAGAAAAGAACCAGCTCCATTGTCTGAAAACTGCTCAGGCCACCCATGGAGTCCAATCACAGCAACTGTACGCAGCTAATATTGCAGCGTGTAATTCAGAAAGCCCAAGACTGAAAAGAGGAGACTGAAAAGAAAGGATCTGAATTTGGTTTTAGCCAGAAAAGCTGAAAAATAGCAGGAAAATGGTGAATGGAAAAGGAAAAAAAAAATATTCCATTTATAAAAAATCCTCCCTCCCCCCCCAAAAAAATTTGCATAGCAAAACCAGACTGAATCTGCGTGCTTTGGGTTTGTTTTTTTTTAAACACCCTGCATGTACCCAGTTCACAGTTGCTGAGCTGTATGCTTCCCTGATGGAAACATGTTATTTTCATTTTCCAAACAGCAGGCGCGTTTTGAGTATGGATGCATATTGTGTTATACCCACCCAGATTGAGTGCCATGAGTCTCACCTGCCCAGCACAGGTCACTGTAACATATCCTGGCACATTTTTAGGTAGAGGTGTGCTAAACAATACCTTCATTTTCCCCTGCTTTAGCTTGCTTGCTCTAAGCACACCCTCCCTTTTTCATCCTAGATGGGTTAGTTTAGCTGTCCTAGCTCCTGTCGCCTCCCCATTTGAAATAGCGTTTTCTGCCAGCAGTACTTACTCTCAATAACAGAACAAAAGCTTTTTTCTGGAAAGCTGTCTGGTCACTAACCTCTTGCTGCATCTCAGCCTCCGTCTTCAGTTTTCTTCCAGTTTTTCTGTCTTCTCTTCTCCATTTCTCTCTCATCACACGCTGTCTCTTTCATCTAGTTACACCTCACCTCCAGCATTACCTTCTCTATGGGTATTATTGTCCTGATTATAACCATCCATAAGCTGTTGAGGACCTGTAAAACAGCACATGGGGAGTTCATTATGCTGCATTACAAACCGCTACACCGATGCACCGTGTCAGCATTATGACAAAGCATCACACCACATTAAGACAGATGTGCTGAATATGATCCACAGAACTCGCAGAAACACCATCTCTTTTTTTTTTTAAATTTTCCAGGTCATTCTGACTCCTCTTTTCCCCCCTCCCACTTTATCCTCTATTTTCTTATCACCTTTTCCTTTTCTGTCACTTTATTTTCTTTCTCCCCACAGTCATCCTCCCCTGGCTGCCTTCATCGTCCACCTCGCATTCCTCCATGCATTTTCTGTCCTCTGATGCACCCGCACAAAGGGCAGCAGCAGAGGCAGTACTGCAGCTTTGTTAAATGTGTCTTCAGCACGCAAAGCTGCACCTGTGTGCTGGGTGCATCTTTGGGCTCAGCAAACTGAGGGTCATTCTATTCCCCAAGGCTTAAACCAGAGCGCTCCGAGAGTAACGGGACTTCTCAGCTCACTAATCTCCAAGCTGGAGCACACCAGAAACAGCAGGAGGAAGCTTGAAATAATACCAGATTCTTTTCTTCACATGCACATATTTCCTTTTGCCTTGTGCAAGTCAAGGCTCTTAGCAACAAGAGCACTGTAGAATGGGGTAGTGACTAGAATTTGATGATGTCAGAACAGCAGAAAATGAAAGATGTACTCTGTAATGGCATACAGTTGAAAAGCATGAAATTGGTACCAAGCAGTGCTAAAACCAAACAATTTTTTTCCCAACAATTCAACATGCAAAGGGTCGGAAAGCAATGCTTTTTTTTTTTAATATTCAGACTGTTAAAAGCAGTGGTTCTCGGGTGGAGAACAAAAGAGTGCTTGTTGATACCAGGTATTTTGTCTTACATGATAGCATCAGATTTTCAGGAGCAGCGCGTCAGGTAAAAAGCCCGAGCGCAGGCTCAGGATAGTATCCCTCATCTGTATGCTAGAGAGAGCTTCTAAGCCTCGCTTAGATCAGGCTAAACTTTGGCACATGCCATAGCAACTGCACAGCGTTTAGCTGTGCCTCTTTCAGCACGCACCGCAGTGCGGAAAGAATGGTTTATTGAGATATTTTAATGGCAGATATATTCACCTGAAAAGGTTAAGTGGTTTCTTCAGACAATAGAGTTTCCTCTGAGTGCCTGTCAAGTTTTAAGGTTTTGCGAAAATTTGTCTATCATTTTTAGTGATTTTTCCATCCTCTGTTGATCTGTGAAAGCCTTGAGGAAACAAGGAAGGAAAATGATTTAGTGGCAGGGGGAAACAATGAAACCTGGTGCACGCTCACATCATATATGTCTAAATGCTGTTGAAATCCATCAAAAAAAAAACTGATTAAGAAAACAAAGAATTGTTTTTCACATAGTTCTCAGGTAGCATACTCAATAATACTGGTAATAATTATGTATTTTTCAGAGAACAACGTGATTTTTAAATTTATCTCTTAAACATGGCAGCTTTTTCATTTCATATTTTGGGGTAGATGTTAAAGCAGTGTAACACATTGTTTCAAAAGAAAAGATACTTTATGTCCTAATTTGTCAGTTTAGGAGCCCCAGAAGGTACTATTCATTTCTATTCTATTGCTAATAACATCTTTTAGCAAAGACCCTGCTTCTAGCAGTAATACTTGTTACTATTGTAATTATTTGCAAATTTTATATTGGCACTATTCTAGCTCCTTACCTAGCGTTTCATTCTTAGTTTCCATTGATATCAGCAGGTCTAGTGATTTTCCCCCTCTCTAAAGCCTTGATCTGCACGTCATTTCATACAGGCAGCTTTCTGTGCCTCTGTGCAATGCCAATCTAGGAGATCTGTACTCTAACTTCCAAACGCAAGATCTAAGACAGCAGTCCTGGTAAGAAAAATATAAAGAAATGGTAGATTTAAACACATCAGGGCTAAAAGAGCTAAAGCGTGCCTTTCAGATCAAGTGAGGAATTTTTTTAGGTTTCCACTTCCAATAACCTTATTCAACACCATATACATTTTTGCTGAAGAGCAACACTCGCTCTGATTGACATATTCAAATATCTACAAATATTAGGGGGGAAAAAAATATAAACCCCAAAGATAATTAAAAATAAAGAAAAATACAAAAGTAATCTTAATTGTATATGTGATACATGTGAAAAAATGCTAAGCTGGAAGAGTTCCACCATAAAAATGTATCATGCAAACATCAGCAACAGCTTTGAAAAGTCTCTTTGTGAATTGCACCCAATGCATTGTGTAACTGAATAAATTGCAGGAAAATTGCATTGTAATATGCACTAATTACATCATCTTTCTTTGTTGCATTTTTTTCCCCAGTGTTGCACATTCCTTGTTTATTTTGTTGTACACGTACACATTTCGCTGTAATAATTCTACTGGGACTGCCTAAAGAGGCAACATTTCAGCACCTGTTCGCTTGAGTTGCTGAATAATGGATATTACACACCTGCAGCTCCTCTGGTGATGTCCTCTTCTTCTACGTGGAAATTATGCCCGAGTGGAAACAGGAACTTTCAGATTCAGGATCTCTCGGGCAACAGTACCTGTACCAACGCAGAGCAAGATGTTCTAGTCCAGCGCCGTGTTCTGCAGCACACAAGTCAGACGTGTCCTGGACAGACGTGACTCCACACATACGCACCGAGTGTCAGACCGGAGAGCTCTGCCTCGCTGGATGTGCCAGGCATACCATGCAGCAAGTCCACGGCGTTCAGAATTCGGCCAATTTGATGCTCGTGTATCCAGGCCATCTGGGCGCTGAACAAACTGACATGTCAAGTTATCCGAGGGAAAAATACATGAAGCCAGGAGCTGGAGCGGGTAACGCTTTGCACCCTGTGTCATTAATCTTTCTTTTAAAAAATACGTAGTTGCATAAATCTCCTTCAAACAGGGACAGTCCTTTCATCTGACTTTTGCATAGTGCCTGTCCCAAAGAATTCCTGCATGTTGTAACAACAAAAAAAAATAACCTGGATGAGAACACAGTACTTCACCCCCACCATCACCACTGTGGAAGTTACAGGAATCAAGGCTTCTCCTGACCTGATTCTTAACTACAAAAATACACAACAAAGTGAGAAGTCCAGGGCAGTAATTCTTGAGTTTCACTTTGAACCAACTCTTTTTTTTTTTTTTCTTTTTGTGTACAATACTCTTTAAAGGTTTACCTTACAAACAGTTTCTCAATTAGATTGTTTAAAAAACAGTAATTGAGGTTTATACAAGCTCTTGGCTTGACTATTATCTGCTTAAGAATTGCTTGTATTTACAATTGTACCAGTCCTCAAACAGAAAGGTACAATCAAAAAAACAACATAGTTTGTCTTCAAAGTATTCCGAAAAGAATATGAAATCACTTGTAAGATCCCTATTTGGAAATTATTTTTATTCTTTATTTGTCTTTGGTCAGTATTAGTAACTCAGAAGCTGACATGAAAACTCATGATTGTTTTCGCATACATAACATTTTTTTCTTTTCAGTAATATATTAATCATCAGTCAGCAAAATAATTAATACTATAACTTAACTCTAAGCAATTGACTCATTATCACTGTTAAATTCACAACAACAGGAATCGACCAACTCTCTTGACACCTTAACAATGCATTAAATTCACAATAACTAACGCAAATGGTGTATCACTTCCTAACATTCATTTAATCTGTAATATAGGCAAGGACATTCTTTACTTGTACTGTCAAGCATAAAGAGAAGAATATTACACATCGCCTGTGGTTGACGAAAAAATGTAAGCAAGGGGTATCTGTTTTTAAATTTTATGTTATTACATAATTAAAGATTTAAAATGAGGTGCAGAAGGCGAGTTATATTGGCTATAGCTGGACTTTTACCTGTGACAGCTTCTTGTCAACATGGTTTGCTGTGCTTGACATCTTACTTATTTTTAACTACAGACAGAAGCAATAGAAGGAATTTCAGATTTCAAACTTTTAATATTTTGTCTTGCAAGAATTACACACAAATGTACAGAAATTAAAATGCTGAGATAACTTGGCCAGCCCTTGCAAACTCTACAAAGAATTCAATTTATCTCCATTGAGGGCTAGCGGAGTCATTACATTCGATTGACTTTTAACAGGATTTGGACAAATCCCCAAACCTACAACCATACCTGGCAGCATCCCCAAAACAATAGGCAATAAGTGACATATTTTTAAATACAACTGCATAAAGAAAAGACTCCGTGAGGAAAAGAAAATGAAAGACACTGTAAAACCAGAACATATCACCCCTTCTCTTTTAATGTGGCCAGTTCTTTCCAGCTCCAGCATGTCATTAATTCAATGCTAGACCTTTTGAAACCTAAACAGCTCCAGAAAACTGTCCTCACTTTCAACGACAGAACCTCTTTACCATGGAGGGGATCAGTTCTGATGCATTTTGCGTGCCCAGAAGGAGAGGATGGAGAGAGCGTAGGAGAGGGAGAGGCCTTTTTCTCAAGCCTAAGAACACTGAAGGCTAAGTACTGAAATCTAGAAGACGCCCTGTGATGGCAGCAGCAACTGCCTGATCTTCCGTCTGAGGGAGGAAGAGGTGTGCATGGATAGAACCTGATAGATGAGACCAGGCTATCTCCCTGAACAAGCAACAGCCGGTTTTCTGACAGCAGGAGTCCAGGAAAGGCTAAAATAATGTGCGTTTCTGCTCGCCCTTCTTACAGATCCATGGAAAGCTCAGGAAAACCCCAGTCAAAAAGCAGCAATGAATATGTAGAGAACCTTACATCCTAACCCCCCCAAGTACCCCGCAAATTTCATTTTACATTATAAATAGATTTGAAGGTGTATTTCCAGGAAGGTAATCTCAGACTCCAAATCTATTTTTAGGTGTATTTTTTTAAAAAGGCCTTATTTTTACAGGCTGAGTGGCCAGAGGCACCCATCAACCTCCAGGGAGCTCAGCTCTCTTAAGATGTGAAACAGTAGTCTCTTTCTCCTGGCTTTTCGAATGGAGAGAAGAACATTAGTTCACATTATGTTCCAGGAATTGCTCCCTAAACATGCCATCTACCACAAACATTCTTGCTTCATAAAATCACACTCGGAATGCGCCCAAACGGTTACCAAACCTTGTGTCATCAAAGCTACACGCACCGTCTCTCCAGCCAAGCTGTCAGGTGTAGTAGGTTAAAGAAACATCTTCTAGCAGCATGGCTCATGATTCTAAATTCGTACATGGTATTTAGACCCAGACAAATTTCTGAAAACAACCTCCTCCCCCATTTCCAAAGACTACATACAGAGAATTTAACATCGCCAGAAAGAGCAGAATCTTTAAATAGTGGGAGGGCAGGACACCTTACTTACTGAGCTGGTGCAAACTCACAACCACGTTGTAGTGTGTCAGTGATGGCAGAGTAAGACACCACTGCACACCACTGTAAAATAAAAGTGAAAAGAGTGGCAAATGCGAATGGGATAAGAAATTCAATTTTAACAGAGCATAAATCTCATTATTTGAGGGATTTGGTTCTAGCTTTTTGGGTTTTTAGGACAAGCAGTGTGTCAGTGTTTGCAAATGCTGTATCTTTGTATCTAAACAAAGGAGAGTCATCTTAAATATATATGAGAAGCGCCGTGATACCAGGAAGCACAGCACTAACTGTAATGTTAACATAAATATTACAGATGTTATTGATTACAGATACAAATCAGGACTTCTAAGATTACATTCCTGTAATTGAAATGACTCACAAGAAAGTAAAACTGCACTTAGCCCAAAGTAATTGAAAGTAACTTCTGCTAAAAGGGACAAATTTTGCCACAGACTGGCTCTGGTACCATCCTAGTTCTGCCATCAAGTGAGATCAGCCAGTAGCTTATATATTTATTTATCAGCTGCCCGCTTCATCTTGTCCCCAGTTGACCCCCAGTGGTCTAGTCCACTGATTTAATTAAAAATCCCTTTCCTTCCCAACAGTAGAACTTTTTACAACACTTATGATGTTGTTACTCTTCTAGAGTCTTCCAGATGCAGCTTCCATTTCTAATATTAAAAAAAAGTCACTAGAAACCCAGTCAGAATTCTTCAGGTTTTCTCTAATCAAAGATCGCAGTATCACTGCTCTTTATGTTTCTAAGAACACTGGAAGCACATAAAAAGAAACATCTGTTTTCTGCAGAAAATCAAGTTTACTTGTCTCTTGTTTTTCAAATCACTTCTCTTATGAAATTATCGTGCAGAAACTAAGAATAATATTCAGATACATTTAATACATGACTGAGGTTTAACATAAGTGGTTCCACATTACACTTTTTCCAGTAGCAAAGCCTGACTAAGAGGTTCCTGCCCTTTTCCTCACCCAACTCCTCCAACCATTTTGCTAGTTTAGCCCTCAGCTGTGCTGCTGCGACTGTTTGTGGAGCTGCACTCTTAAGCCAAAACAAGGCAAAATGACCTCATTTAAGAAAACGACAGTACAGTCACTCTTGTTTATAGGTCTACTTTGAGAATTCATAATTAGAAGAAAAAAAATAATTACTTAAAATGCCAGTTAAGAAGTCATGGATATAAGGTGTATTGCAGCTGCATGGGAGGACTCTCTAACAGTGAAAGTTATTTCACTTAAAAGTGGAATGTCAGGAAGTGAATAACCCTCAGATAGCCAAAGCTGCCTACATTTCACTTCAGGGAAAAAAATACTTTTGCTAATGTTCCAATTGCAGCCTTTCCTATCAAAAGAAACTGAAACACAGAGAGAGAGAGCTTTCCTCAACTCAGTTTAGTACTCACCAGTGTAACTTTCAAAGGAGACACGCATCAGATGTACTAGTGAGCTTCCGCAGAGAATATTCACAAATATGAAGGATAGCAGCAGGTTTTTCTTCAGAAGGTTGTCTCGCAAGCGGTAAATGGAAAAAATACTGTACCATTTTATAAAAAACTATTTTTTCCTATTTAGGAGTTTCAGACAACAGTCTCCCATTATTTAGAATGAGCGTGGTTTATTTCTCCTTCAGTGAAGAAGTTCAAGGCCAACTTCCTGCATCAGTGGCAGAGGTACCAGAGGCAGCCCTTGCAATTACTGCACTTGCATCACTTTCTGTCAAATGACTTTTCAGGGCAAGTGCACTGCTTCCTCCCAAACCAACTGGTTACACATTCCCTTGCAGTATTATTAATTTTACAAACTGGAGAACAGTATCCAGCACTAGCCATTGCCTTCCTCGCAGAAGTCCTGCTTCACATTATTTAGCTAACGTGACCATGATGTGCTAAACTTTCTGGGAGTTACTGCTTTTTCATATTAACATGCATGCCTGATGTTAACACGAAGTATTCTCAAGGCACTTGGCAGATGGGAATTGATCGCCAAGCATGCAACGCAGCTGAATGAGTAGAGAGCAACCTGCTTTCTCCATGACTTAAAGAGTTCTTGGGCTGAAGTCTCCCTCGTCTAGAACAGTGTCTGTATTGAGTTGCCACGAAGAAAAAACCACAAACACGCCTCTGTCCTACTGAGAAAAGACATAATTAGCAGTGTTATACTGCAAATGGATCCTCATGGGCTCTACTCAATTTTCACAACAGAAAAAAAAAAAATATCTGCAAAACTTCATGGCAACTAGGCTGCAGGCTGTTGCTTCAGTCCTTAATAGTTATTTTAACCAACGTCACCAAACTCTGACTCTTCCCTCAAGCCTTGCAATCCGTTGTGGATACTGCTTGAAAGCTGTATTCCTTATTCAAGCAGAATTCCCACTACGTAAGAAGACTTCCAGCACTTGTTCTAGGAGTTTATGAGGCAAACTCACTGGATAGCCTTTTAGACTCCTTGAAAGTCAGGATCTTTGCTTTGCATCCAAGGAACCATCAGATCCTCAGTTTTCTGAGTTTTCTAGTCCAAACAACAGGTATTTCCCTGTATGCATCACTCATTTTTCCTTTTGTTTTTAAGGTGGCTAGGCAGGTGCCTAGCAAAAAAAAAACCCTTCCAACTTTACTGGTTTTAGGTCAATTTCTCATTAATGTCACCAAATAGCCTTGATTCTATGTAAGGGGAAGTTTGTACATACAGAAGAAATAACACCAAAAGGAGAAAATAAGTTGAAGTTTTTCATTTCACTCTCTGCTGCTGAGATTCCAGGATTGTTTCTCTGAAGAAAATGCCTAACAAAAAGCAGTTCTTTAACACTTCTTACGGTAGGAAAAATAAGAGCAAAGGGAAGATATAAAAAAGCCTTGGGAAAAAATCCTTAAATAAAACAATTGCTAGCCACACCCCCTGTGGCAACCTGGGAAACATTCTACATCAGGGACATTATTTTCACTGAAGAAGAGGGGAAAGATCACCACAGACAAAATTCATATTTAAATTGCCTATAGAACTTACGATCTTGTTTTAACATAGTAGTTTATTTTCTCAAAAAGGACTGTGGCACTTCCTTCCTCTTTCTTCTGTAATAGAGACTTGATCTCTATTGTCCCTAATTATTAGGTTTTTGTAGCTAATTAAGTGGAAAGCAAAATGAATTTTTGAAAGTCATGGATCATCAATGGAACTATTAATTAAAACCTTGTTGTTTGCAAATGTCAACAATGATTAAGCAGTGAGATATTTTTTGTGAGGTTACTCATTTGGGTGGAAGACCTTACCACAGTAACAGTTTTTAATAGTCTCTGCTTAAAACAACTGCAGAATTGTATGTTGCACCGATGTAAAGGAAAACAAAACATAATGTGTAGAACTATGAAATGCGAATCAGAAAGATTCACTTTACTTCAGATCCTAAGTTGGCAAAGGGTAGCTAGAAAATGTATCTCTTGCTTGTAAATTATGCAATAACCACTGGAATCCAGGACTGGCTCAAGTTTTTGTTAAAAATGAGAAAGAGACGTTCAGCTTCTAAGGCTGGTAGGGATATGAAAAGTCCAGCTTGTTCAGAATGAACAAGAGGGGGAATAAACCAAGAGAAACCACGGCAGACAGATGCAGAATTGCAATGTGTTTGATCCATTGTGTTTGTGCACTTGAAGTATGAGCGCCCAGCTGTCATGTTTCATATGCTTGACAAGACACCCCATAAAGCAACAGTGTCAAACCACTCCAAAAAGTCCTAGAGTTCATTGATCCTGATACGCAGGCCAAGAGGAGGACCTTGGTCCCTGGCAGATGATTTAAGGAGAATGAGGAAAAAACTCTACTGCTTCCTCATCAAAGAATGTCATATCTTACTCTTTCTAGCAAACGCACGTCTCATCTGAGATTAGTCCAATGGCTGAATCATCACAATCTCCGCAACAAAGGCCGGATGCTGACAGAGACGAAAAGAGCGCTGATCTGCTGCCCCACATTTCTTACTGAAATAAAAAGCTAAAAGGATTGGAATGAAAAAAAACCAAGAATCATGAGAGGCAGTGAACTATTAATATTCTTCATTTTATGCGTAATTGTAGGCTATATAAAATTGCAGCTCCATATATGCATACACCCTTGGATAAAGTTTACACCTGCACGTGCTCACAGATTCCTGCAGGAATCTGTCCGTGTCAGCGAAGCCACGTGACAACTTTTTCAGTATGTATTTCTCAAACTGCAAATTAATTGAAGCCCTCTGATCTCCTTTCAGCTGACTGCAACCCATGCAGGAACAGGCAGGCTAGGCGCACGGAGGCCTGGCTCCACATGCAATACTATGAGAGCATCAGTGATTATGTACCCTCGCAACACACATTCCTCCCACAGGGGAGTATTTCGGAGCTCCAGGGGCTCAGCTGATGAGGAGTCGCAGTGGTGAACCCCACTTTCTGATGTTCTCATGGATAAATCATAGAATTGTTTAGGTTGGAAAAGACTTCTAAGATCATCGAGTCCAACCATTCCCCTACCCCTGCCATCCCACCCCCAAACCCTGGCCCTCAGCACCGCCTCTGCCC